TGTATTACAATATGTAGTTTAACTTATGGATCTTAACAAATTAAACAAAATGGATATTAAGAATCTGAATTGAAAAATCTTACTTAGTTTTAATTAACATTTCTTAATCAAGCACATATCAGAGTTACAAAAAGAAATTCAGATAACTCCTGAGTTGCAAAATGTTGAAGCATTCATGTTCAGAAAACAGTTGTGATATGCAGAAACCGATTAACTTGTTACAACTCAGGGTTTCACGTAATTTAATTAGTTTGATGCCTGTGAGTCAATGAATATTAGTAGTTATAGCTGACTAGTATAGCTATTTGCTGTGGAAGTGTATGCCTAATTTAGTGCCAGGGGCTCCACCAAGCTATTGCACTTGGTTGTTCTCCAGAACTGCATAGAGACATCAGGTTGCAGAACACAGGGAAACCTTGCTAAAAGTGTTGGTTTTTTTGTTTGTTTGTTTGTTTTTTGGTTTTTAATTTTGTTTTGTTCCCAGCCATCTAGCTTTCATAGTGACAGAATTTGCTATATAGGTAGTTAGTGTCAAAAATTAGCAAAAATAGCCTTTCTGAGATTTGACCCTTCCATGCTATAATACCAAGTTGCCAAATAAGATGTATCTCCTAGTAGAGTAGTGGCTGGCCTGTGATTAGGTCAGCAAACAGCTGATTGGGACTGAGGCTCATTGTGTTAAAGGGAATTCATCCCTAGTAGTGTGGATCTATTCAAAGGCCCATGGGTGGTCATAGAAAACATTTTCATTGAGTATGGGTTTAGAAAAGGGCATTTTCAGCTTTGTATCTTTTTTCCAAAGGAGATGGTCCTTGTTTTCTAATGTTGCTGAAAAATCTCTTCATGATTCTTTTCATGACATTTATTACTTCTTTATTTCTCAGACTGTAAATGAAAGGGTTTAATAAAGGAATTACTACAGTGTAAAAGATAGCTACAGGGATATCTTTATCTCCTTCATTGATTGAACTTGGTCGAATATACATGTAGAGAAGAGACCCATAGAATATTGACACAGACAGAAAGTGGGATGCACAAGTTGATAAGGTTTTGCCTCTACCATCTTTAGATTTCATTGTGAATATAGTGAAAAGGATATACAAATAAGATACCAGGACTATAGTAATGGTAAAGGTTTGAATTGAACCAGAAAAGATGAGTATCATCAATTCATTGAGATAAGGGTCAACACACGAGCGTCTGTATAATGGAAGAACATCACAAAAAAAGTGCTTGATTACATGAGACCTACAGAAAGTTAACCTGAACAAGAACCCTATGTGAATTATGGAGTGCAGGTTTCCTGCTATGTAGGCTCCTACAGTCATCTGAAGGCAGAGCTTCTTGGACATCATGGTGTGGTACTGCAGTGGGTTGCATATGGCCAAATAGCGGTCATAGGCCATTGCTGCCAGGAGGAAGCAGTCTGCAGTTTCAGCAAGACAGAGAAAATAGAACTGTGCCATGCATTCATAGAGAGAAATCCTTCTGTCCACAGAAAAGAAGTTCTGTAGCATCTTGGGAGTGATGGCACAGGAGCAGCAGGAATCCATGAGAGCCAGGTTGCCCACAAAGATGTACATGGGTGTGTGAAGATGGTGCTCCATGTAGATCAAGACCACCAGCCCCAGATTCCCCACCATGGTGACCAGATAGATAACAAAGAACACCAGGAACAGGAGGGTGTTCAGGTCTGGGTGATCTGAGAATCCCACCAGGATGAATTCATTTGTCACAGAGTAGTTATTCTCAGCCATCTCAGCTTGTCCATTGACACTGTAATGACAAAGATATAAAATTGTAATTCTTAGAATATAGTTTTCTCTTTATGCTTTCTTTGTATAAGAGGGAAAATTCCTCAGTGGAAAAAAACAATGGAATCTTGAAATTTGCATGAAAATGGATGGAACTACAAGAAACCATTCTGAGCGAGGTAACCCAATCACAAAAAGACAAACATGATATGTACTCACTCACATGTGGATTTTAGACCTAGAGTAAAGGATTACCAGCCTACAACCCACACTGCCAGAGAGTCAAGTAAACAAAGAGGACCGGAAAAGAGACAAACATTGTCTCCTGGAGAAGGGAAAAGGGTCACCATTCCCTGAGCAAATTGAGAGCTGGGGGAAGAGGAGGGGGGCAAGGAGCTTCGAGAATGAGAAGGGAAGAAGAGGAAGGATGCAGAGGTCATGAGGGAGCAGAAAGGTTGAGTCAGGTGAAGAAGAAAGGATATGTGATAGGTAGGGTTTTAGTTGGGGGGTGATAGGGGAGGATGGGAGGGAGAAGGGAACTGGGATTGTCATGTAAATCAATCCTGTTTCTAATTCAAATAAAAAAAGATAAAAAAAAAGATTCACAGAGTATAATGAAATAAACAATTAAAATATTACATAGTAAAAAAGGGGAAATTTCTTCTTTGTTGCTTTTAACTTAAAATTTTTACTGTATTCACCCAGAATAAGGAAGTATTTTTAGAAATATATTCTCAATATATTAAATTCACTTTTGTGAATTGTGCAAAGAATATTAAGGACTGATGAATGTGTAGTTATATTTAAATAGAATAACCCAAAAGTTAGGATGGGATAGGGGGTCAGTGGGGGACAGGGGAGGAGGGAAGGGAGACCAAACTGGGATTGACATGTAAAACAGAAATGTTTATAATTTAAATAAAACTTACTTAAAAATTCAAAAAGGGAATAACCCAAAATTTAAAGAAATAATGGTTTTCACTTTTTAAAGCCATGTTCATACACATTTTTGTATTGAATTTGTTTATGCCATTATTCCCATTGAGTTTTTCAAATATTTAAATCCTTCCTCTGTTTTGTAAAGCTAGTTTACATGCAATACTAATTACAGCTTGCCTAACACTGGGCTGTTCTTCCAGTCCTTTATTTAAAAAACAAAACAAAACTATGCATTTTGAGACAATCTCATTGTTATTCATTCTTTCCTTGAAGTCTCTCTGAAGCCCAGTTAAACTTTCAATTTTCAATCCTCATGCCTTAATGTCCAAAATAGTGAGGATTTCAGTCCTGCCCTGAAAGTCTTACCTAAAATTCATATCTTGTGTGTATAATTGATATTACTTTATTTCCCAATACATATTTGAACACTTTTGCTACATTGAAAGCCTTCTGAGGAGAGATAAGATTATTCATACTCCAGACTTGATCATGATGATCTGGGGTGGGTGACTTTACTTCCAATATGCTGATGAACTTTTTATTAACTTTTTGTTTCTGCATAGGCTCTAATGTGAGTGATTATCTACAAAGTAAATCTTGATGACACCACCTTTTGAAAGAGCTATCTTAAGAAAGTGATTTTGACTTTTTGATTTCTATTTCCCTGAAAATATATGCTATCTAAAGTGTGCTATGGCACATTAGAGCCACATTAAGATAGATTCTCTTCAGATGTTTTTCTATCCAAAAGCTTGTCACTACATATGTCTGTTGTTTTCTAAGTGTCAGAGATAGACAACAAGCCTGTTAATGAGGTGATTTCTTTACGACAGTCTAAACATTTAGTTTATTCATTCAATGTTATGATCTTAATCATTGACCCTATAAATAAAAATAAGGAATATATATTTGCCATAAAAAGTTTGTTACCTATCCTATATTCATCACTTAATAAATGAGATATAAAGGCTATTTATGAAGGATCCTTTATGATACAAAGGTGGATAAGGTATAGAAATGTTTACCTAATTATTTCAAGAATTTCATATGCTGAATTAAACCACTAGCAAGAATATTAAAAGCATAGTGAAAATAGTATTTACTATAAAGATATCTATGTTACTAACATGGATATATGGATAATTCACAATTGTTCTTTGTATGCAAATATAATTTTCAACATTCTACTTTTTAGGATTGTTGACAAAATTATCTCATGCCTTACTAAGGGATCAAAACATGATTAGAATTTAAGAAAATAAACATCAATCAAAGCAACAATTGTGTGTGTGTGTGTGTGTGTGTGTGTGTGTGTTGTGAATTAGCTTTTGTAGAATGTTATTTCAAAATGATATACCTGTATGTAAAAAATTCTTTTTTGATCATAACCTTTACTCTCCCCAAATATCTCCACTCATATAACTATGTTCTTTCTTTCTTTCAGTAAAAAACCCACTAAACTAAATAAAATCACAAAAACATGGAGTTCATTTTGTTTTGGACTAGTAATGCTGAGCATGAAGCCTGCTCTAGAGGGTGACTTATAAACTCAGAATTGCTCCATTGGAAAAAGCTGTTTTCATTCCCAGGTAGCTATAAATTAAAAACAGCTTCTTAGTTACACATGGAACATTTAGTCACTTCCCCATCTCCATGCAGGGATTTGATCTTGATTAAACTGGTGAAGGCTCTGTGCATGCTGCCATAATCTCTGTGAATGCACATGAATATCAGTCTTCTTGTGTGTAGAACACCACATTTTCTTGTAGACATTTATCACCTCTGGCTTTTACAATCTTTCCACCTTGGCAATCCCTGGGTCTTAAAAAGAGAGATTTGATAAAGACATATCATTTAGGGATGAGTGCTCCATGGTGTCTCACTGTCAGGATGCTCTCTACTTGTTGGTCTCTCTGTTAATCAATAGCTATGATGAGTGATGAGTGATGAGTGATATTAGGAGTTTTTTTTTCAGTGTTCACTTAACAGAATAGTTGTAGGTTTTTCCCTTCAGGCCCACAACCTATCTAGTATCAGGTTCTTGCCTCACTAACAGTGTCAAATGTTGGTTCCATCACATGGAGTAGGTCTTAAATCTAATCCAAAAGTGTTTGGTTACTCCCATAGCATTTGGGCCATTATTTTACCAGTATATATGAATCTTGTTGTCAGATAATTGTAAGTCATAGGCTTCATAGCTGATTGAGATTGATTATTATTTTCTACATAAGTAGCATTTATAGTACCTTTCAGCATTATGAATGCTAATCAGTAGGGGCAAAACTTCTACTTGGGAAGCAGCTCCATATCTCCATGTTCCATGGAATAAGCAAGTTGTAACTTTGGCAATAGGTCTTTGAGTCAGATTTTTGAGGGTCACCAATCACATTGGCAATGTATTCTATGTCGGGGGCCAAATATTGATTATGATATTTTGGGTACAGGCCTCAGCTTGATTCCAGGAGCTTGAATCTCCCATTGTCTTTTAGATGTTGGTTGGTTACCCCTAGATGGCTTGACCACAGTGGAGAATAGCTTCTAGTTTGTGTAACAATAAACCTAGGACCCTGGGTGGACCCATGCCTATCTTGGGGGCTGATGGGACATGCCTAGGGACTAGTGAGACATGCCATTGTGGAATGTCTGAGGGCTTGTGCATGTGCCCATTCTGGGACCATTCCCTAGTATTAAAGGAAGCATTTCCTAGTTAGCCCTTTATATATGATAATAGATGTCTTCTGTTATTACTCCCGTTTTTGGAAAACTACTTAAGAGGATACTTCAATAAACCGTGACTTCTCAGTATTTACTGGGTGCCCTCCTGAGATGATCTGGTGTTCCTGTCTCATCTTTACGTCATTGAGTAATTAGCTTCCCTGAGTCCACACACACCCCCACTCAGAATAGGACCCAGGGCTGCTCTGGTTCCATTCATAGCCCTGAAGACAGCAGTCAGGAAAAACTGTAATGTTTGGGGGAATCTATGTATCAACTTTGGCCAAAGATTCAACAAGAAGTAATACATTTCTTCAAAGAATTGAAAAAAAAAAACAATATTTGCTTCATATGGAAACACATTTACATACTCACTCACCAGAAAAGGGTAGATAAAATGATCCTGAATAACAAAAGGATTGCTAGAGATATGAACATCCCAGATTACAAGTTGTGTTATGAAGAAATAGCTTGGCAATGGCATAAAAAGACACATTGACCAATCAAATCAAATTACAGATTCACATATAATTCAATACACCCAAAGATACCTGTTTTTTGACAAAGAAGTATAAAATATACAGTGGGAAAAAGGTATCATCTTCAGCAAATGGTGCTGGCTGTACTGGATATCTGTATGCAGTGTGAAAAAAACATTCATTTCCATAACCTTACATAAAACTGAACTCCAAATAGATCTAGGTCCTTAATATAAGATCAGATACCCAAATCCTGATGGAAGAAAAGGAGGATACTATCCTTGAAGTCATTGGCACAGGAAAAGACTCTCTGAACAGAACACTGATAACACAGGAAGTAAGATCATAATTAAGAAATGTGACCCTGTGAAGCTGAGAACCTTCAGGATTCCAACAATCCCCATCACTTGGGAAAAATGGCCACATGCAGAAACAGAAAAGATCTTTCTGAATTATACCTTGTGTAGAGAGTTAATATCTAAAATGTATGAAGAATGTAAAGAAACATCTGAAACACCAAGAAAAAGTAACCCAAATTTAAAATGGAGTACAGAACTAAGCAGAGAGTTCTCAACAGATGTAGCACAAATACCCGAGGAACACTTAAATGCTCAAATCCTTAGGCATCAGAGCAATCAAAGAAGAGCAAATTAAAATTGCTTTGGGGGTTTTATCTTACCCCAGTCATGATGGCCAAGATTGATATGACAAAGGACAGCACATGGAAGGGAGGGTGTGGGGAAGGGGAAACACTTATTCATTGCTAGTAGCAATGTAAACGTGTAAATCCTTCTATTTCCAGGAGTAGCAGAATCCATAGATGTGCTCTATGTTACAGAGACAGTCAGTTAATTTGTATCATCGATGATA